ATGTCAAAAAATGCCCCTTTGGACACAATTTAAAATCTGAAACCTTTCAGATTTTTTTTATTATCCTAAAATTAAAAAAAATTAATATACATATCTGATGAGTTTGCACTGAATAAATTGTTGTTCGCATCGTAGCTTACGACAAGGTTCAAAAACTATGATTACAACTTAGTACAAAAAAATCCTCTAGGACTGATATCTAGGGATATATCCAAAATTCTTTTCTGCACACCGCTATGTTGTTGACAATGATATAGCTTAGAGTTTCAACTGGCAATGCTATATTTCCTCCAAAAGTTTGCAAAAACTACAGGTCATGCATAAGATCTATACTATTTATATCACTTTGGTTTTTATCAGTTAATGCGTTTTGCAGTTTTTGACATGAGCTGATCTTGTAAATATATGTGAATGAAAATATGTGATGACGATGTGAATGTAAGGGTACAGGGAGCACCGTAGATGCGTTTGACAAATTGCTTAGTCATTATTTTGTTCTACTGTTGCAATTGTAGTAATTTGGGCAACATTGTCTTTTTTACGATTTTTTTTTTTTTTTTTTTTTTTTTTTTTGTAACTGCTTTTGTTATCCTAAGTAAAAAAAGGTACATGCAGTTACATATTATGGTAAACTTAAGTTAGCTTTCTGATTCAGAAGAGTGGCGATTTGAGCATAATTACTCTTTTTTTTTTTTTTTTTTTTTTTCATGAACCACTTCTTTGTTAAACTAAAGTTTATCCTTTGAGAAGAAAGGATTGACATATTTACAGAGCACCACTGAATTTATTCCAATTTGAGATTTGAAGTCAAGTGAAAATGTACGTGGCATTCAGAGATAAAAAATTGGCCATTTTCAGATTTTTAGCTATACAGAAAATCGAAGGAAGATGTTTTGTTATTTTCATTACGTCTTTAAATTTGATTTATTTACTTTAATAAACAGAAGAGTACCAGTTCCTCCTTGAATTATTTGGTATTGATCTAAGAATTCATATATTTTCCAAGCAATAGTTTAAGATATACTCACTTTTTCAGAAGTAAAGTAAATTATTTCAAACTGGGACTTTCCGAATATTTTTAAGAAGTGTTTTATGCAATAGTTCTTATAATAGTTATTTTCTGCTTTTGTTTTTACTTCTGCTTTTTCTGTTTTCATTTTTCCCCAGATGTCGGAAGAAAAACAGAAAAAACTGTGAGTATCAGATTGTAATAAGGAAAAAAAAAAAGGTGAGAGGAAGACTTAATAAACCAGAACTTTAAAATTATTCAGTTTTTTCCAAAACCCAAAGAATACCCATGCTGATGCTACTGGTCCATCAATATTATTCAGTTTTTCCAAAACCCAAAGAATACTCATGCTGATGCTACTAGCGCTAGTTATCCATCAATGTCTTAGCTACCATTGAAATTACCAAAAGAACCTAATAATCAGAAAGTGTTTAGAAAGCATTTTCACCCGAGAATTACTTTTAACTCCAATGCAGCCAATCGGGGGGGGGGGGAACAGAAGAAATACCATTCAAATCTACAACTTCTGCAGTAGACACCCATTTGGCTTGTGCTTGATGATTCCGGTTTATCTTTAAGTCCATTATTGCCATCACAAGTTCAAGCCTTAAAATGGTCCTGGATATTACCCAAACTTGGTTTCGAGTTTCAGTTTCGCAAAAGACAAAAATGGACGTAATATTTTTTAGATGTACTCATGTCGAATCTTGCCAAACAACGAAACAGTTAATCCAATTTCTTAGAACAATTATGAATGAATAAACCTGTTAATTCGGAATTTCAAAATTTTATTAAAAAAAGAGACTAAGCATTGGTGTGATGTTATTGAATTATTGAAAGAACTGTCTATGCCATTCAGTTTTTAGCCAAACAAAACATAGCCTTCCGTGGTTCCCGTAACATATTATTTGAAAGAAATAATAATTTTTTAAAGTGTATAGAAATTATCACAATATTTGACCCTATCATGTTTGTATATATTAATAAAATTCAAACTACAAAAATATGTTTCATTACCTTAGAGATAAAATTCAAAATAAAATAATTAGCTTATTAGGGAATCATATAAAGCAAATTATTTTAAATTAGCTCAAACGGGCAAAGCATGTTTCTATTTTACTTGATTGTACCCCTGATGCCTGTCATCAAGAACAGATATCAATTTGTATGAGGTACCTTAGTTTAGAAAATACAGACATGAGTACTGAAGAAAGTTTTTAGTATTTTGTGTTTCAACAGATACGACCGGTGAATAACGAACAACATTCTTATTAAAGACTTAGAGGAAAATAGTTTAGATATTAGTAATTTAAGTGGCCAAGAATACAACAATGGTTTAAACATGAGAGCTGAACGTTTTCAAGTAATTATGCTCAAATCGTTGCTTCTCCGAATTAAAAACGTTAACCTAAGTTTAACATAATATGTAGTTGCACTTGCCTTTTTTTTAATGTAGAAAAACAATAACAACAAGCAATCACAAAAAAGATAAATATTATTGCACAAATTACTACGTTTGCAACAATAGACATAAAATAAGGATTAAGCAATTTGTTGAATGCATCTACCCTTACATACACATCGGCATCAAGTATTTGCACGTTAAAATAAGATAGAAGGGAACACCAAAGTCGAACTCCTGCCCTTTCGGTCAAATAAGACAGTGTGCTAGGAGGAAGGGGCACTTAGAGCTGACAAGCAGCAGGCTGCCCTAACACAGTTAAACGCCCCAATCTCTAAAGGCGATCCAAGAGACCGCTAACCTATAGGTCGAGCAGACGAGCTAAGACTAAGCTGATTCGACAGGAATACTTAGCGAATCACATTCCACGTCCCTATTCTGGAGGGATGGTAAAAACTTCTGCCATCAACAGGGGCCTCAAATCCGGACAGTAAACGGTGTCACTTAAACACTGTCAAACAGACCAGGCCACCAATCTGGCCTGCTAACACTACGTCATGGTATACAGATTCCGGCTTTAAGCGTCCTCAGGGGGAAACCAAGAAAGGATATGAATATGAAGTTTTAAGGCCCCAGCCACACTGGAAACCTCAAGCAGTTTAAAGGCTTGCTGAATTCGCCAACTCCATCAACGGGGGTGTTTCACTCCAGACAACCATTAATATCTAATTATACAGCTTCACCACAACCAACAGAATGGACAATACAAGACTATATGGTCCCTGCCGAGCCTGAAACAGCCATGGTCAGTGATTACTCTAGTCTGGTCGATTTTAAACACCATGGCCGAAACTGCCTTGGTATAGATCCTAATCAGTAGCTTCCCAGGTTTTACCCGAGTCGATGCCCCCCGAGGGGTGTTCGAAAAATAATTATGAATGAAATATGCTCACATCTTGAAACTCTGAGGTCGGAGTCAAACTTTTTTCAAGTGGTAAATATAAAAAACTTTCATGGGTTCTTGAGTTTTTCCAATTAAAATTTTGAAAATAACAAACTGTCATTTAATGAAAGAAAAACTCAGTAATAAAGCAGACTTAAAATGAAATCCCAAGCAGAAATTATGGTTAATTTCTGGACCTCATTAGCAGCAGCTAAAATAGAATAAAGTGAACAGTAGAATGATACTTTACACTTCAGTTTTTCTTCTATGTATCTGTATAAGAAAAGGTTTTTTATCACAACTTCAAACAGAAACAAAGCACCAAAATCAATTTAATGTATGTGCTGATCTCAGATTTAAGCTTACCAGCATTCATCCAAACATGAAACAGCTATGCAATAAATCAGCAGGCATATCATTAATGCGAGTACCAATACTATTTAATTTTTAGATAACACAATAAAGCTTATCCAAACTCTAATCTTAAGTTATTAACTATTTTAGGGTCTTCATTGAGCTCCGCTAACTTTCCAGTTTTGCATTACAATGGACACAAACGAAAACAGCACACGTTACACATTTACGACTGACAGATATACCACGCACTTGGGAAGTAAAAATTGCTTAGTCTTGCAACTGCTAAAGGGTTAAAACAAACATAACTTTTCTTTGATTAACTTTATTGGTTAATACATATATGAATCAAATGAATTTTAACTAACTGTATTTTTAAGCACATTGGTTAGTAATATAGTACAATTGGGTGCCCCTTGTTTATTGGCGATTCTTTTTTGACGCCAAGATCGGCGCCAGGAAGACACAATTTCAAGATGGCCGCTACACAAAACCAAAATAAGAAGTCAAAGAATTGCATAAGATCTGTGTCCATGTACACATTGATCTGTTTTTACTTAAAAAAAACATTCTGGAATTGCACAAAACTAGGCATTGCGCACTGCCTTAAATATGTCCATGTACACATCAAATCTATTTTCATTTAAATAAAATCGGGAAGCTAAAACAGAGTTAAAACTATCGTGGTAACCAGAAGTGAGGTTTCATCGCCAATTTTTTTTTTAAAATGTCGCCAATCGAAGGGGCACCCAATTCTACACTAAAGCCGTAATATATGCTAAAAAATATTTGCTATACGTACTGAAAAATGTAGAGATGGTGAACATTCATTTATAAAAGTAGTCTCAAATAGAAAAAAGTTTGAGAAAAGTAGCTATAAATGAAGTTCTTTGAGCTTCCCAAAATCTTAAATAGGTATTTTGAAATTTTTCATAACAATAATTAAATTGATCTTTAAATTTAGACATGAATAACAGCTCCATAAGACAGCTAAAAAAATTAAAATCATCAAAACCTTCTACTCATTTTTAAATGACTGACAAAAAAAAAAAAAAATATTATAATGAGAAAGGATGATTAAACCAAAGGAAAGCAAAAAAAGAACAAAAATTTACACACCGTCACTCAAAATAAAATAATAAATCAACTAAAAAACATTAAAATTTGCATTTTGTAAACAACAAACATAATTCAACACTTGCTCGTCAATTTTAGTTAGACTTGCGTTAATTTATGCAGTAAAATCTAAAAATATATACTAAGTAAACAACACAAAAATAAAAAGAACTCACTCGTTTTGCAACTGTTAAATGTAAAAAGAAACCTTATACCTAAGAATTCATGATATTTTACATACTTTCCGAAGAAATAGATGCTGTTCCAAGCACGAAAAATACCTAAAAACTTCCAAAAGATTACTTGACTATGGATTAAATCTTACAATGGTGAAAAATATTTTATGCCAAATTGCAATTACTCAAAAAAAGCACTGAGAATGAAAAATTTTATATAGCTATAATATAAAGTTAATCCAAACTCCATTCTGTCAACAGACTTTCAACATCGCTATACAAATCTACTGCACGCTGCAAAAACAAAACAAGCTGTAAGCGGCTCAGAGGAGTTCGATCATTGGATGAAACGAAACTTCACAAATTGCTGTTTAATCTGTTAGCAGCTATCCCTTCCAGTAATAATTAATCTAATATTTGCCTTTTCCCACTGTAGAAGATTTATATTAATCAAGTTAAATTACTTTTCATTTAAGAATTTGTGCGACTTCAAATTAAAATATGGTAGTTAAAGACTGGGCGTAAGCAACAATTGATGGAACAGCATGTTTGCAAGCAAATCTAGATTGTGTACAGATTGAAGAAGGGCATGTGTAAAGATGCGTACGAAATCGTATTACTGAATTCTGAAATATTCTTTTATCTCCAAAAATGTAAAAATGAAAAATCGTACTCAATGAATTCAAATTATAACTTATCTTCTTTAAAAAAAATGCTTGTTTTCATTAATTGTAAGGTGGTGTTTTGCATTTCGATTATTATGTCAATGGCGTTGGAAAACAAGCGGTGGATTGCTTGCTCTTGAAATGGATTATCACAGAACTGATGATCAAAATACAGTCTGAGAAAATCTGTACAGTTAGAAATTTCTTTAGTCGTGGTAAAGTTGTGGTATGGTATAAGTAAACCATTTCTCCTGAAATTTTTAGCTTAGGGAAGGTTTAAAGTATGGATGCTTAATATCCCTCGCTTTCACACTCAAAACAGTAATTTTACTAATTTATCCTCAAACTTGGTATATAGAAAATTTTGTTCTTATGCATATTCATTGTGAGAGCAATGACTGTGAGTTTTGGCTTCCCTTACGGCATTGTCGGCTTTTTATCGTTTGCGATACTTGCTAGTTGCCTCAAAGTAAAATCTGGTAAGTTTTCAAATAAATTCTTTTACTTTACATGATTTACTGTAAAAACAAAAATTCTTCGATTACTGATCTCTGCATAATACAGTAATAAAAATATGTCAAGGTGAATCAGATTAATGCAGTTTAAATAATAATAATGCAGTTTAAATAAAATAACATTAAAAAATAGCAGCAGAAATTGTATGTGCAATTAATTACTGCTTGCTAATCCACAAAATATGGTCCTATGGATGTTTACTTTTCAAATCTATTTTTTTAGGAAAATATTTCACTTTACTCACCACTGTATATAAATAGGGAGTCATTTTTTAACATAAAATTATTATATTTGTTACAGGAAATTTGCAGCATTGAATTTATTAATAGATATTTTTATATATGCAGGGCTTATTTTGAATAATAATTTTAGGAGTTAATATATTTTATCAGCAAAATTTGTTAAATTTATATCACATTTTAAATAGTAAAATTCTCTTTTTAGTTTTAATTTTGTAGAAGTGGCCCACATTTTGATATAAAGTATGATACTAACTTGCAAGAATTTACTTCCATTTGCACTAAGCATGCTAAGGAATATTACATTTAAATTTTGTGTCAGTTGATATGGAAATTACATTCCACCAAAATCTTGATGAAGTACAATGATCTTACATTACATGACAAGAATTTGAGTACAATTCAGATATCTTAATTTGTCTGAAAAAGAGTGTTCAAAACCTAGACCATTGGTTCTCAATGTTCTTTATGACATGCACCCTTTTTACCATTGCTAGGCGACCATTCCCCTTCTTTCTTTCTAGAACTAGAAAAATAAATTATTTAGATTATTTTTAATGTTTTATAAATTAAATAAGAAATATAGAAAATATTGATAAATTTCAAAATTTGAATACAAGTACTCTTTTATGTTCATAAACTACAACTAAATACTAACAAGTTAATTAAAGACTAACAGCATTCCTGCACCCTAATTGAGAAACCCTGTTCTAGATTTTAAGAAGTATCTTTATTAACTTTAAAATTTTTTCCTCTAATATACTTATAATTTTTTTCTCAACTTTCTACTGATTAATGGACTATAATTTACTGTAATTACTTAATGCAGTTTCACTTAGGGCTTAATGGCTCATTTAATCTTGTTAATCAGTTTTTCGCCATCCATGAATCTATCCCTACACACACAAATATAAAAGTTTGAAAAATTGCTCAAAATGTAATACTTCAAACTAGTGTAATACAAGTAGTTTTAAAAATATGAACTTTTAGTATTCCTCTTTTACCATACATTAATTACCTAAAACTGAAAAATAATAATCATTTTTAGTTTATTCCTCTTTTACCATACACTAATTACCTAAAACTAAAAAATAATAATCATTTTTAGTTTCCAAGACCATTCTATACATCATTTAAATTTTTCAGCTGTTCTTCACACCAATTCCATATGGTTTAATCTTTTTGACCTGACTGTTGCATGATTAAAATTTAACTATGAAAAGTAGTTCAATGTTGACATACTAAAGAAGTGTAATATGACTAAGTATTTAACTTTTCCTGTTTCCTGGAAATCTCTTGAGTCATATTGTCAACTGGGATTGTATGTCCCAATCATTTAGGATATTGTGATAATAACCTTACATTGCATGTGAATAAATTTAAATTAAATGTACCGAATATTTTATTCTTACAGTAAGTTAAGTATGATATAGCGTAAAGCAGTCTTTACAAAGTGCAACCTAACACATTTGATCTTAGTCATATATTTGTTTCCCAATTCCTTAAAAACTCGGCAAACGTAAAAAAAAAAAAAAAAACCATTTAAAAGTGGGTTTTATTTACCCAATAGGTAATGAAATCTAATCTGTGGGACATGTGTGCTCATTAGAACCGAAAGGGTTAAGTTCTAAATGATAGTAGTATTGAAAGCTTATAATAAACAAAAATCTAGGCAAATCTCAAATCATAATATCCATTGTGCTGATTTTTTAAAAATTTTAATACAGTTATTACAAGGGAAAAAAAAAGTCATCTTCATCTAATATACACTGGTGTGCAAAAATTAAGGACGAAGTCGAAAAATTAGCATATCTGCTGAACGAAGAGGCAGAGCGGACAGAAAGACCAATCAGGAGAATAAGTAAGGTGATGTACGGTAGCGCATGCGCAGATATGCAGGTAGACGTAATGGGGGAGTGTCTAAGTAGTATAAAGCATGTTGTTGGTGTAAGATCAGTATTTCTGGCAAAGAGATTGCACGCCGTATAGCAGTTAAAATCACACCGAGTTGCTGCCTCAGCGAGAAATGGCGAATAATAAATCTGTTAGATGACATCTGGATGCTTTTACCCGAGGTCGAATCATTGGGAAGTTGGAGGAAGGCCGCAGTGTGACAAGTGTGGCTGCAGAGTTCGGAATTTCTCACAGCATCGTTTCACGACTTTGGAGACAATTTCAAACTACAGGAACGGCTGTCCGGGGGTTTAGTAGTGGTCGTCCACGAGGAACCACACCCGCAGATGACCGGTATATTGCCTTGCAGGTCAAAAGAAACAGGCGGCAGACAGCGGGAGAATTCGCTAGACACAGGGGACTGGACGACCAACATCGCATTTTACCGTGGCCAGAAGACTGCACGGTGGTGGTCTGTTTGCACGACGCCCTGTACGGTGTGTACCTCTAACGCCTGCCCGTCGGAGAAGGCATTCTCTGTGGTGCCGGGAACACCGGAATTGGAGAGACAATGAATGGGGACGAGTACTCTTTACAGATGAGAGCAGATTCAGTCTGAGTAGCGATTCTCATCACATACTTATCTGGAGAGAGCGGGGAAGCCGCAATCATCCCTCAAAACATCATTGAAAGAGACAGGTATGGAGGTGGCGGTGTTCTCGTTTGGGGAGGCATCATGCTTGGTAGTCGTACAGACCTTCACATCTTCAACGGAGGTTCAGTCAATAGGACCCGTTATTGTAACGAGATTCTTCTTCCATATGTGCGTCTTTTTAGAGGCGCTATGGGTCCGCAGTTCCTTTTCATGAACGACAATGCACCATGTCATCGCACAGTAGCTGCCGAACAGCTCTTAGAGAGTGAGGATATTGAACATATGGATTGGCCGGCACGATCTCCGGATCTCAATCCCATCGAGCATGTATGGGATTTTCTAGGCAGATGCTTAGCTCGTACCTTACCACCAGTAACGATTCCGGAGCTTCGATTGGCGCTGCAAGACAAATGGGCAGCAATGCCTCAACAACTCAATGACACCCTCATTCTAAGCATGGGCAGACGCTGTGAAACCTGCCTAGCAGTCAGGGGAGATCATATCCCCTATTAAAGACCGGATGTTTCTTGCTGGACACCCATCACAGGGATGTTTCGCCCTTCAGTCGCATTGCGCTCCATGCTACTTTTTTTATCCCTCTGATTTCTCTTTTAGTAAGTGTTGCTTACATTACTCATGTCCTTACGTATTGGGGATCTTACGGTATTAAATGTGTTGATTTGGAAAGCTTTTGTACAAAGTTATATTGAAAAAACTGTCTCGTCCTTAATTTTTGCACACCAGTGTAGTTTGACTCAATGGGCTCCCTATCTATCCCTGAGAAGTGCATGAGCACTCTCAGGGATTCTCAGGGAAGTGCATGAGTAAACTCAGTTTTCAATACTAGTCAGTGGTGGTGTCATATTTGATTGATTGCTTTTTGTTTAATATTATGGTGATCTAGGTGTAGGTTTGCAAAGTTTAGTTCAGATTATAACTGCTGTATTAACTAAAGTATGAATTACGAGTTATCATGAAAATATTCAGCATCAGATTTCAAAATACCCTTTCAACTGAAAAACCCTTGTTTGAGAACTGGGTAGAAAAAATTAAAAGCCGGACAAAACCTTACTGCAAGCAATATAAATCTGAACTATTGGCACATTAAATTGATGTAATGAAACATAATCGACAGTTCTTTAAAGCGCAAATAAAATTCTCAATAAATCCTATCTCGGAAAAGTATAAAATACACATTTGAAAAAGTAAACAGCATAAATCATTTTGAATTAGAACTTCTGTATTTATTACTTGCCATGCATCACATATGGTCCCATCAACCATTTGAATGAAATTTTTAAGGAAGAAATACCATCAAATTCATCATCCGAGATCTTACACAGAGCAAAATGCACAGCATTTATAAAGTCAGTTCACAACAATGTGATTGAAATTAATAAATATATTCTGCAACATCTAATAACATTTCTCTAACATAAGTCTACAGATGTTTCATGTAAGGGCTAAAGTGCAGAATCGCCCACTTATTCGATTGGCGCTTTTTACAAGAGTAAGAAGAATTGGATTTTTGTTAATTTTCTTTGACTTTTTAGGTGAAAATAGGTCAGTGTGTACATGGATAAAGTCAAGGGAGTGCACAATGCCATTTTGCAATTCTGGGATGTTTTTGGGGGAAAGTGCAGAATCGCCCGCTGCTTGACGCATTTTTAAGAATTGCACACTCAATATCCATGTACACATCGACCTATTTTCACTTAAAAAAAGATATCCCAGAATTGCACAAAAATGGCATTGTGCATTCCCTTGACTTTATCCATGTACACATCAACCTATTTTCACTTAACAAGTAAAAGAAAATTGACAAACATTCAATTCTTCTTATTCTTGTAAAAAGCTTCAAACAAATAAGCGGGCGATTCTGCACTTTAGCCTGTTTTTTTAAGTGAAAATAGGTCGATGTGTACATGGGATACCGAGTATGCGCAATTCTTAAAAATGCGCCAAAGCAGTGGGCGATTCTGCACTTTCCCCCATGCAAGCATCTATATGTGTACTCTATGTATGTGCAATTTATGTATCTTATTGGACCTTTATAATCAGAAAAGTATCCAGACAGTTTTTAACATTTGTTGAGTTTACACAGGCTTAAAAATTTTTAACTCCAAGTTTTTAAATAACAACACAAACAAATTTAACAGTGAAAGATGATAACTTT